AGAAGGAAGGAAGGAAGGAAGGAAGGAAGGAAGGAAGGAAGGAAGGAAGGAAAGAAGGGAGGGAGGGAGGGAGGGAGGGAAGAGAGGGAGGCAGGGAGGGAGGAAGGAAGGAAGGAAAAAAGGTGATAGCTGTCTTTCCAAAACAAAATTTTCATCCAGGATTGCTGGAGAAGGAAGGAAAGTGTAGAAGGTTCTACATTACCAGGTTCTCCATGAAACTTGACTGACTGCAACTGCTGCAAGCCACAGTCATCCCCAGGAGGCCTCCCTGGGGATCTGAAGATATATTCCCACAACCCCAGCAGGTCGCATAGATCCTGTGGAATGACTTTTCAGCTTAACACTAAGCAAGGACTGGCACAGGGTGATATACCGTGTTCTGCCCTAAACTAGTGGTGGAGCAATAACCCCTCCAAGGAGCAAGAGGTGTGGCGTTTCTAAATGGTGGTGAAGCGGGCTGATACTGACTGCAGGGGCTTTTTCCAAATGCCCAAAGGCAAGGATGTTCTTGTCTGGGTCAGGAGTGCCCTGCTCACCTAGCAGGAAGCTTGGTCATGAGTATTCCATCCTAGCCAAGCATCTTGGCTATGAGAAGCAGGAGCCCAACAATGCTAACCTTTGAAGGTTCCAGTGACTTCTGGGAGTCATTCGCAGGGTGACTGCAGGCTGCCCCCAATGCCACCACTGGTGAGCAGCAGCACTGGGAAGTGCATGCACGTGTGTGTGTGTCCAACAGGGCTGTAGCAAATGCTCTTTGAAATGCCACCTGTTTCTGGACCTCTTCAGACATTACCATGTATAAGTCAGAGTAAGCTGCATTTCCAACTGCCTGGACACGTCCAGCATGGCCCTTCTGCCCCAAGTCCTCTGCTTCGGGTCTCCGCCTAACACACCTTGAGCAAGAGTTTGCAGGACCTGAGGGAACAGACATTTGCCAGAATGGAGACCAAGAGGAAGGCAGCAATGATGGGAAGCTCTTCTCCCACCGCCAATGCCCCAGACACGGTGGGGGCGCAGCAATGAACACAGACTTGGCCTCCGCGATTTACAGCAGAGTCCCGCAGATTTGGAACAGAAATGTGGACCATGCTCTCGCATGCACAGAGGTGGGTAGGGGGGAAAGGTAGAAAAGCACCAAGGAGGAAAAAGAAAGTGAAGAACCGAATGCAACCTGAACATTCTGAACTACTCCTTGGATCTTGGAGCTTTCAGGACTGGGGTGATCTTAATGGTTTTGGAATCGCATCAGAAAATGTCACAATAGGTATTTGAATTAAAATCCACCAGAGTTGCTGAAAGACCAATTGTTAAAAATTGGCAGCATTACAGAGACCTTCTGAGGCTGCACACTGCCCAGGGCTCAGAAAATTGCTAAATCCAAAGTTAATTTATCACCTTATTGATAAAGTGGTCATTTTAAAGTCTTGTGGTATGGTGTTAGTGTCTCATTAATTAAAATTTAGAGTAATTTATTAGGCACCCTTGTGTCTTCTATTATATTATAGTTGTACCCAACTATTTGATTTTTTTTCTCCCAAGGTTGTTTTTAATCCAATCCCTCATCTCTTCTCATCTGTCTGTCTTTGAAAGCAACAAAAATATTAAAAAGTATAAACCTCAAACCAACCTTTTGGGAGATGGCAGGATTAAGAAATAATATGTCCAGGAAAGCACTTTAAAAAACCTCTCCCTTGGAAACATCAAATTCACCCACCAATAAAAAGAAATCTGTGTTTACACCAAAGGGACTGCTTTTCATTTCAAATGTCGATCTAGGAGGATTAGCCAGGTTTTTGCTCTTTAGTGACTACCCTGGAAGAGGGTCTTCCTTCATCTTCTTTCAATGCCAATTAAATCAGAGGATCGACCAAAGAAAGACTGGAAATGCTTCATGTTAGTTCATTTTCCTGTTGCTGAAACCAAATACCCAACACCCACAAGTTAAGAGAGAAAAGATTGATTTAGCTCAAAGTCTGTAGAGGTTTCAGTCCATAATCAGCTGGCTCCAAGGCAGGGTGGCCTGGCACAGGGGCATCTCAGAGGAGAAATGGCTCATGGCAGGCAGAAGACAGCAAAAGCGAGCAAACAATGCACCTTAGCAGCTTTTCTTTCTGTCTCTTTTATATTCTGTCTGGTCTACTAGGATTAGGGGCAGTGCCCAACCAATCAGTGAACTAATTTATTAATCACTCAGTCTTAATTCTAGCATTGTAGCATGAATCAATCATATAGACTACTTCCAACTATCTCTGAAAAAGCCCCACCTATGACCACATGAGGCTTTAGGGGACATCCAGACACAAGCCGTAATGTGTTTGAAGTGTAAAGCCCCCAGCCCCAGGAGGGCATTGTCCCTGCAGCTGTTTCCAGCATGTGTGCAAAGGGAGCACAGCCTGGCTCCCTCTAAATTAAAATTTAAAATTAAAAGCCTCACAGAGCTGTGGCTCCCAAGGGCATCAACACAGGGAGAAATAAGTATCCCAGGGAGCCCTACCAGGGCCCCAGGGAATAAACTGTGAGCATTGGCCACCACCTCTGTGTGGCCCCAACTGTTGTTCCAAAGTATATGATAGGAAGGGTGTGTGTGTGCGTGTGGGTGTGTGATGTGCTCTGAGATCACATCAATTTGTAAACAGAACTACAATATGAACAACTCTAAAATTTAACTCCCCAGATTTATGACATAGAAAGATTATTCCTTTCTGGGCATTCTTAGTTATAATTTTAGAGTGTTTCCTTAAACTTATCCAAGTTAAGTAATCAGGATTCAAAAGTGAGATTAAAAATAAGTAAATAAGGGCCGCCTTGACGGCTTAGCAGACTAAAGCTCCTGCTTAGGCAGAGCGCAGAGGCCAGGGTTCAATCCCGGGTGTGCTGTGCAGGCCACGCCTCCAGGGCATGCTGAGACTGCGATTGAGACTAGGTGAGGTGGTGCGCACCTGTAATCCCAGCACTTAGGAGGCTGAAAACAGGAGAATCACTAGGAGTCAGATCTATGTCTTGGGACTCTGTAGACCCTGTAGACCCTGTCTTAAAATACAGAAAAAAATAAATAAATAAATATGCCACCATGGAACTAGAGATGTAGGCAACTGGGTTGTGATTGTTCTGATCAGTTGTTTCAGAAATCAACACTTCTGTCTTTTTGCCTGGGAGTTATTGTTTGGATTTTGATCATCAGCAAATATTGTTGGACATTGAAAAACCCAGTACTTTAGAATAACTGTCAGGACAAAAGCTCTGGCAGCAGGGCGACAGAATTTGAAGGTGGCTTGTTTTCGGGCACTGAAGTCCTCGCCTTACCTGCGACCAGCGGAAAGCCTGGGATCTCACCCCAGGACCCAGAACCAGAAAGTGAAACTGTTTCTGCGGGTTTTGCTTGGCGAAAACACCACCGAGTGCAAAACCAGGACGGAAAACAATGTGCTCCTTTCGCTTATTGTTTCCCTGTCTCTCTGCTACTCTTTCTGTTGTGCTCTCTCTTTCTTTCTCTTTGCCAGCAAACAAAGTGGTTTTGGTGACACGGGAGAAATGTAAACGTTTTCAACATAAAGCAACTGGGCTTTCATGGGATCCATACCTTTAAAAAATTATTTTACAAATCAAACAGACTGATAAATTTATCAAACTAAAGAAAATACATTCATACTTTAAAAAAATATGTCACAAGTATTTTTAAAGGATAGATTTTGAAGCCACCAAGCAAGTTTCCTAAAATGAAGGGTCTACATTTTGATTTTAGAGATAGCTCAATACTGCTTTTCTAGGTTATCTTTATCCAGCTGCTATTGTTCCAATCCCTTATCACATTTTCAAGCTGGTCCCACCAAGCAACACTAAATGCTCCACAAATACTCCACTCCCACCAGAGGTTTTGCTTTACCACACAATGAATACTCATGTAAGCATTTTTCTTCTTTCACTCCACATACTCTATTTTAAGAAAAGCAAAGTCACAAGAAAAGAAGCAACTCTGACTCTCACTCTTCAGAAAGGATGCCTCAGGTGAAAAAGAACAATAGCTAAGTAGACAACCTATACCTCAGTTGTGAAGCACCTGGACGCCATACGCTGGCCGCACAGTGTCTGAGACCAACCTCGTTGCCCGTCTCGGAAAGCTACTGGTGATCCAACCCTCTTGAGGACTGTCGTAGAATCCATAGACAACACGACAAGCCACCCCTCGCCTGCTGCCTCAGAGGAGAGGATGTCGAGTATAGCACACCAGCTGTCTCTGGGATGGCTCTGTCCACATGGCCCTCACCCACCGGCCCTGTCTCCACCAGCAAGTGACCAAGAGAGGACTCCACCAGCTGCAGAGGAGCCAGGGGAAACACATTCAGTCACCCCACACTCTACCTGGGAAAGCGGGGACTTTGTCTTTGAGTTTGGGGAAACTCTTTTGAACACTCCACAGTCTCTTGGATTTCACCCAAAAAAACTAACTAAAACCATCAACTGGCACAAAGATGCAAAATAGTCCACCTGAAACATTCAAAATAAAATTCAATTAAAAGTCAACACCTTGATATGTTCATAACACACCACTTTTAACAATCAAATTTTAGGTAAATACACTTAACTCGAGATATACTATAATTTCTAATTTAAAAACAAAATGAACAAAACAAAATTACTGTGAAAAAATGCTAACCAGCTATTTGAGTTCGTGGTTGGAAAGGGGAAAAAAACAACTTTCTATGCATCTCAATGCAGAGTTAAGGAATAGTGGATGTGTAACCTCCAAAAGGTACAGCCTGTAGGGTTCTGGGGTCACCCTTCTTTCTGATAGTGACCTGGTGAAGATATCAACGCCTGTACTGGTACAGGAAGAACGGAAGTTGCCCTGCTGGACTCTTGGGCTTAGAGCAGAACACTCAGGCATTGCCTAAGCGGCACGCATGCAACCCCCCAGAACTACAGCAGGTAGCCTGTCATGCTGGCAGCTCAAAGAGAAGGACCCCTGTTAAGAGCACCCCCCCTGCTGTGCACGCCCTTACCTACAGCTTGTTCACCGTGGCCCTGGTCAGCGTGCTGAGCAGACAGAGTGTTGGCTCAGACGATAGGTGACTTTCAGCACACGCAAACCAAGTATTGCAAAAGCTATTTCCTCCTGGGGACTAGCGGCTCACAGTTAGTCTCCAGCAGCCCTGCTCTCCGGCTGCAAATACCTCATTAGCCTAATGCATTCAGCACAGGCAGAGCACTCGATTTACCATAGCTACAGCAATGAATTTCCATTACGATGACAGCTTCAACCACATCATGTCCGGAAAACCAGCCAACCACTGGCTTTTAAAGAACACACACATTTTACATGCAGAAAGCGAAGCCTCGTGTGTGTGTGTGTGTGTGTGTGTGTGTGTGTGTGTGTGTGTGTGGTGTTTTGGTGTTTCCTTCCTCTTAGCAGCCCAACTAAGAGAAAATGTGCAGTGAGCTTTTTGTCAACAGGAACTGAAAGGTAATGACACTTATGCTTCTTTGGTAGTTACGTCCTTGTAATAACCTGAATTATGTCACAACTGTCAGAATGGGTGTTTCCAACATTTCAGTTTTCATTACCCCTCCTCTGTTGCCATAGAAACCAGACTGTAACATCATCCTTTTTGTCCCAGTCCTGCAGCAGTGAGGGCCAAACTGGGCTTGTGAGATAGTAATGTTGGGCTTTGGATAAAAAAGAAAGGAAAGGAAGAAACTAAGAAAAGAAACAAAGAAAAAAAAAAAAAAAAAGAGGGAGGAACGGGGAAATGGTCCAATAGCAGTCTTGTTCAGGGAACTTGCATGCTTGGAGTATGGTTACATAGGTAAATACACCATTATGCCATGCCTGGACTTAGCAACTCTCGGCTGCCTGCAACACAGGTGTACAGGTCACAAGCCCTGTGCCTTAGGCTCCAGGGCTGCGTGTGAAAGGTCTCAGGAGTGTCTATGCTCCTGAAGCTGTCTGGGAACTGCCTGCGATGCAGCAGTCCTCGCGCAGGAAAGAGCTGCTCTGTGTCCTCCACGCCGTGCTGCCTCCTCCAGGGCAGATCAGTTTGGCCTAGTGAGGATACTTTTCTTCCTCTTTCCTCACTAAAGAAGAGCGAGGCTCCCCACTGCCCATTTCATTCACTCTGGGGTCATAGGCTATTCCCAAGAATTTCTTCTCAGAAGTGCTGTCCTTACAGTTACACCCTACAGCATCACATTTAGCCAGAACCAAACCTCAACTACAGCCAGTGCAGCCTCCAGCCACAACCTGATCAATGATTTATATCAATTTGGTAGGGGGGCTCAGTTTTGCTGTTACTATTTTTTTTTTTCTTTTTGGCAGAACCGGGGATTGAACTCAGGCCCTTGTGCTTGCCAGGGAAGCACAGTCCACTGAGCCATCTCTCCGGCCCCGTGATCAGTGATTGAGAATGTAAAAAATCCAACTCTAACTTGAGGTTTTCCTGAATGCATGGGCAGTCATGCTAGAAAGAAACAAAAACCTTCTCTCTTCAAATTATGGTGATAGGAAGACATTTTAAAATCAAAGCAGTGTACTTATTGAACAAAGAGAAATTTACTCCATTAGTTCACTTGATCATTGAATTCTGTTGTGGTGCTTTTTGTTGTTTTTTGCCTTATGAGGGGAAAGGCAGGTTTAGTAGTTTTTCATTTGGATCATTTTCATAAGCTGATATTATTAACGAGGATGAGGAGAAGGAAAAAAGAAAACAAGGCTTGATGCATGATTTAATTGTGGCCTGCGTCTCTTCCCGCAAGAGTGGCTGTGGCTCTGTGTGCGACCTCACGGTCAACCTCCTGCCACGTTCAACTCCACAGCTCCACAGTGAGCTAAGAGACTACACTGATTTTGACTTTAAAATACTTATTTGGATAAATAAAACAAATCTTTCTTAATGTTCAAAACTATTCCCCAAGCACTGTGAAAAGGAAAAAAGCTTAGAACCATCTAATTTTTTTAAAATGGTTTTGTGCCCTGTTCTACTGGGCCCTCTGATTCTGACCCTTGAGGTCCAGGCTTCTCTTTCTCCTCCCAGGTGTGCTGTCATTGTGGTTTGTCCTTATGTCGGATGTGTCCAGGATGCAGGGGTCATCACCCAGCTGGTCATCTGGTCAATTTGGCAGTGATGCCAAGAACTGAACTTAATGCTGGCATTGTAGTTAGTAAGAGCTAACTCAAGAGCAAGTTAACACTGGGGTGCCTCGAGTGCAGATCTTAAGGTGGTAGTAGCAGTGCAGCCTCTACTGTCATGATAATAGCTGACCTTTACTGTGCCATACAGTATCCCAGTTCCAACAATTTAATGAAATATGTGTCATTCCCACTCTACAGATAAAAAACAAAACCAAACTGAGACCTAGGAATTTTTAGTCACTTTTCCAAAGTATCACAGCTCAAAAGTGGTGAATATAGGGTTCCCACAGGGAGTCTGTCACCAAAGACACTATAATTAATCACTCTGCAACATAACCTCTGGTACCGCCTTTTATTCCAGCTTTGCTATGAATCCAATAACAATGGTCAAATCATTGCTTCTCTTTCACAAGGAGGACTGTACTAGGAACAAGACAGTGCCTTTGGTTCCGACATTCTACAATCCTATGAATTGCTTTCTCTGCCAATGCTTGGCGTTGGAGAAGTGCTCAGCTGTGACTGCCATGGCCAACAGGCAAAAAGCACACAATGTATCAATAAGGCCTCTCTCTCAATAGTATCAGTAAGACTAAGGTAAACTGGCACTTTGGACTGTTGATTTGAGGGAGAGGTACTAAGAAGAGAGCATGGCAAAATAACAGGAAAAAAGGCCAAGTTTCCTTTCCTGAAGTAGGAATGGGAGACCTAGCCTCCTCTACTCGCACAACCCCAAAAGTTGTACTCCACATCATTGAACACACTTCGTCTTGAGCCTCCTGAAGCTGGAGAAGCTGCAAAATGATGAACAGTCTGAGGTATATGTGGCTCTGCTGAATTTGGTCTGGCTTTTGGTCCTAAACTTTTCTATCCCCCTATTCTTCCCTTTTGGAAAGGGGTTGTTTACTCCATAGTACTATTATATATTGGGAATCTATAGCTTGTCTTTTTAATTTCAAGACAATAATTTAAAGGTAGGAACTTGCTTTGAATCTCAGAGAAGACATTGACTTTGAACTTGGGTGATATTGGAACTGCTGAGACTTTAAGATGGGAATTAGTACACTCTTGGTTGTACAGAGGCTGGTTGCATCAGGCTAGGTGAATTATGAAGTTGTAAATATCTTTATTTGGGATTAAATATGGTTTAAGGAGATGTGTGTGGATGTCAGGTTGATAAGAGGTGGAATCATCACTGATTGGTGTGGACCCATGAGGGGATCAGTAAAGCATACTTCTTGGAAGGTCATTGAGGCATGACCTTGGGTGCTATATCTGTGCCCTAGTCTCTTCCTCTCTGTTCCATGCTCTGCTTCCCATCTGCCATGGAGGGAGCAGCCACACTCCCCTGAGCCCTCCTGTCATGAAGCCAGCCAACCCTGCAGTGAAACCATGAGCCAGTTAAACCTACCCTCCTTTCGGTTGAGGGCATTGTGTAATCTGTCCCACAGATGTTATAGGAGAATATAAAACATGAGGCTGGAGAAGCGGCTTCATGGGAGAACCCTGGCTTATCCCATGTGAGACTCAGGGTTCACACCAAGAACTGAAAAAAGAGGAACCAAGTGCAGGTTGCAAAATAATAGGCAGAATATAATTTTATTTTGAAAAATTACTTGCAGAATATTGGCCAATATGTTGAGAGTAATGAATCCCTGGTAGTAAAACGATGAATGATTTTTAGCCCCTTACTCTTTCTTTTTCATATTCTCTATAAAGGATCACCTACTTCTCTTGCAATAATAAAAAAGGTGTATGATTAGTAACAGAATTTTCCCTTGGAACTTGGAAAAGTTGCTTTTACTTCTCATAAACCTGAGCCCCTAAGTTTTACTATTGAAAAAAATCTGAGCCCCGAAGTTTTACTTTTGCACGTCTAGAAACTTCTAGAATTGAAAATACCAACCTTAGCCGAATTGCTACATGTGTTCCCAGTGGCTGTTGTAGGTCATATGCAGCCGCTGACTTAGCTTCAAGTGAAGAGTGCCCCAGCTGGCCCAGCCATCCTCTTGTCCCAGGTCCCGGGCTTCCTCCTCATGACTTTCCAGAGTCTGTGTGGGGACAGGCTTCCTATCTCCACCCTCAGTAGGGTCCTCTCAGAGCAGTAATACCCTGCCTTAGTTTTAGTAAAGCTCTGTGCTGGACACTGTATGTTTGACCAAACGAGATGAAAATAACTAAAGAAAAAACAACACGTTCAAACTTTCCTGGACCCAAAACAAGTCCCTTCTACAAGGCCTCCTCCCCTTGCTGTTTTGAGCCTGTGACTGGGCTGTTATTCAGAGATTGTCTTAGTGGAAACTTTTCTCAAGGTCTGGCAGCTCGGTAGAGCACCTCCCAGAGGCCATCAGGCCATGGCCAGGGAGTGGTCTGGGGAGGGGCCCAACATCGGGATTTTCTGTTGGCCACAAAGCTATGAACTCCAAGATGGTGGAGCTTGTGCTCACTGTATTCCCAGCATGCAGTGCAGTGCCTGGTTCTTGACAGGAAACAAGTGAAGACACATTTCTGAATGAATGAAAGAGATAAAGGGTTAAAGCAACCTAATCTTGATTAATGTTAGCCCATGCTTTCTCATCTGATTCTCCCCTCACATCTGACATTACATTAATATATTTGCTAAAGTTGACAGGAAAACATCTGCCTACTATCCCTGTGCTCCTTTAGCTATTACAGTGTTATCTCAAGCCTGAGCACGGTGGTGCATGCCTGTAATCCCAGCACTGGGGAGGCTAAGACAGAAGGATCACTACAAATCCAAGCTGCGTCGTGAGACCCTGTACCAAATGCATTAAAAAAAAAAAAAAAAAGCTATCTCCTTGTGACCCCTTGTGTTTTGAATTGTGTTCCTTTTGGAGGGGGAGGGTACCAGGAGTCAAACTCGGGACCTCACATTTGCCAGCCAGGTGCTATACCACTGAA